CAGTTTGCCCAGTTGATATTCGTTGAGTGACAAACCGAATGCAGGGAGCCTCTGTCGTCGAAGGTACTGGTCGACTTTTTGTCAGATGTTTTATTGGTTTAGCCTTTATTTAATCAGGCGTATCCAAACTTCACTACCACTTTTTATGTCTACTCATATTTTTCCATTTAACATCGCATGTTGGATAGGGCAACTGAATCCGATCCGGTTCCATCGGACGACCTGCTTCACATCTGGCCTGAACTGCACAGACAACACACCATCCAAATAATACACTGTGTTTTCGACCACGTCACAAATGGCACATTTCAAAATAAGATTGCATTCATGCCGTAAGGTTCTGCACTTGGTGACAGAATGTTTAGATGCTTTTCGTACGACTTCTGTAGGCGATTGCTAAACGCACACTGCTACATATCTTGGCTGTCCAAACGCCCCATTTCTACACCTCCTAGTCTGTTCATGTTGGGATGCTTGGCGATTCTCATATACCTGGTGACCAGTCCCATCGTAGTACTCACCTCAAAACCTCTTGAGCTATTTTATAGTCAATTTCTACCGTGTCTGTCACCGTTGGCAAGTCTCTGACTGGCGCTTCGTATCCATTTGTGTTTGTCGTAGGCTTGTTTATCCTTCCGTTGTGTTCGCCGGTGGAGTGGTGAACACGACGTTGTGCTGTCGATGGGGACGATGTTGATATGCTCACCGATTCTGATGTCAAGTTCCCTATTCGATTGTCCTACGTAGACCTCGGTACACTCGTTGCATTTGATTTTGTAAAGGCAACCCTAAAGTATATCTGTCGGGAGGCAATCCTTCGTTTGCAGGGCTCAGAGGTCCCCTTGTAGAGTGCTACTCATACTTTAGCCATCTTTGAGATCTCATGAATGTCTTCAGTTGCTCAGCTGTTGTCTGAAGGACAGCATACTCATCTGCGGTTACTAAGTCACCAGATATTTCTGTTGAGTTTGTCCGAATAGCCATCCTAGCGTCCACGTCATTCCTGAAACAGAGACTTCAGCGTTTGCCTGATACCTGTCCACATGTTTCACCCCAAGTAAAATCTTTAGAGCCCACTCTTTCGTCTATTTCCAGTCACCCAACACGAATTCCACAGAAGTGACGGCACTAAGGGCAATATTGCTAAGATAGACAACTAAATTAGTTCGAAGAGTTTTCTACAACTGAGCTTTCCAGTCAATCAGTCAACCAATTTATCAATCAATCATTCAGCTGTAGCACTTTTTTGGTGCCTAGCTGCCGTGCCACACGAAGGAATCACGAGGGCTGGGATGCTGCCAGGTTGCCCAAGCCTAGACAGGGGAAGTCGAGAGGCAGAGGTCGGATTCAAACCACAGACCTTCAGATCAGTAAATTCGCGCTCTAACCACTTAGTCCATCTCGCCCCCCCCCTACGCTTTCCAGTGAGCCCATAGAAAGACCTGAGCCGTACACTGTTCCACGCATTGAAATAAATTTATCAGATAGGTCGCCAAACGAAAGATTATTTGTTAGAGAGGGGTTTTAATCTCACATTAAGGTTTATGAGGATAGCAAATTAGTTGCTTCCCTTAGTGGAAGCGGAGAAAATTTATGTTCAGTTGGTCGTGGTTAAGTTCCAGCCCTCACGAGCCTCAACTGTCTCACCAGCAGATCGGAGAGTGTTAAATGCCCTAAGACAGATGGGCAATATATTGATTACAGGGGTGGATAAGGATTATCTCCAGAAGGTCAAACAGCACTTAGCTGATGAACCATCCCGACTGACTGACATTAAGAGCATCACATCTTGTAATCACATCTTGAGACCTGTGATAAACCATTTGGGACAAGGGAAGTCGTATCGACCGTTTTCTAAAATTACACTTCAACTTCGCTTTCAGAGTCTGTCAAACTTACCCAGGTTGTGACATGATAACGTTAAATGAAGGCGACCACAGTCGGATTGAGTGCTGCGGGATCTTCCCACTTTCCTGGCTAGGGCCCGCCATATTGTGCTTGCAGGTGGCGAGAAATCCTACAGGATATGACGCACAACAGACCTCATAGGCGCGCATGCTGTCATTTCCCGGCCAGATGGCCTAGCTGAAGTTCGCCTGTTGTGTGCCGAGCTTATGATGGGTGTGGTCCGTAAAATACGCTGGGCGATCCCGTTGCTAGTGCCCTACTTCGAAATGATGCTCACGTGCGTTTATTTTAATGCTGTCCAAATGTGTGGGCATCTCACGCTTGGTCGTTTTCCTTACTAATACAGGATTTACCCCCATTTTCTTTTCTTTCACCAAGGCTTTCCTCCCTCGTGTTTATATTGCAGTTAGGCGCCAGTATGTATTACTCTTGTATTGCTGATGATGATAAAAATATGTTTATGAGAGAGATAGTAAACGGATTAGCATCTCCACAACATGAGCTGGCCATATCCTTGGCAGTTACCCCGAATCCTTTCATCTGCAAATTGAACACCCATATTACGAATTCACACGACTTTGCCAACAGGTTTCACCGTGAAATTAGATAACATTCTTCTGAGTCCTAATGTCAACTTCCCATATACGAATATGCCAAAGGGAACTCTGCTATTTACAGACAATGTACTGTTGGAACGGACGCAGCTTACCGTGGATGAAATATTTTAAGTATAATTGAAGAAGAGTGTTGGTGCCCGTAACAGTACGCAGTAGGTAGTGGACCGGGGCTGCTGTTCCATATAAATTCACTCGAAGGGTTAACCTAAGAGCAGCGTTCCACAGGGGATATACTGAGTTCTGAGAAGAGACAAAATCTCATCGCGGTGTAGAGGTTTTTGTACCTCCATAACCATTGGGCTGTACCGAATAGTGTACGTGTAACACTCTAAGAGCCCCTGATACCAAGTTGGTCAATGGTTAGAGGTCTGACTAACACAATCTCCTGTTCCTCCAGTTTGGGGGCTGGAACATGTGTGGCGACTTGCTTCTTAAAAATGTAGACTGCTATAACAGTCTTATGCGAACCACCGCTGCCTTGAGGCTTTTAAGCTGCTCGCTAGGAGTTTCCCTGAGTTTCGCTACAGGCTTTGGTTGCTTCAGGACAAACAGTTTGAGTTATTGGGTACGCTATATTTTAAGTTTCTGGTTAGTTTCGGCTTTGTCGGGATCGAATAATCAATCATTCTGGTTCTATTTGGACGGTATTTTTATGAAAAATGTTTTCTAAGGACACCGTCTCGTTTCCATCCCTGTCCCACACTCTGAAACAGGTGTAGTTTGGTAGTTATACCTTCAGAAGCTTTTTTAAACGTTTCAGCCAATTTCTTTGGCTCTGAAAAACGAACCATTCATACTTTATTGGGGAATACCATGTCCAGGTCGACGTTATAAGTGACCCATATTTATTTCCTACCATCTGGACGTCTAGAAAAAGGAAAAACACTCCCCGTTTTTAACCTTGATTTTGGTATCTCAATGGCGTTGATACAAATGTTCACCACCAGTTGCTCATGTAGTTTGTCGTGCGTCTGAGCACTTAGTGGTTCGAAACCCTCGCTCGGCATAGTCGCCTGTCACTTGCTGGGTTTAAACGAGAGCAAAGATTCAAGACAACCATAAACTGGCAGAACAATAGCCATCTTTTATCCTATGCTGAAGCGGTGGTGTTCCGACGCCACAAATAAATACGTAAATACGTAGAATTCATGACTAGCCTAGTCGTGTCTTGCATCGACGGACCGACGCTGATTCATGCGTACAAGTACGTTGCTAGAACCTGAGTCTGGCGATCTTTGTCTGCTGTATTGGTTTCACTAGACTAGTTGCTTTTACTGTCATTTTCCGTCCGCCATCTTGCCCTATGCTTTTTGGTATACAAACCGTTAATGAAATGTGTAGTGGTTGGGTCCAGTCTGTTATGATGCTCCTTGCTCAGAAGGAAATTGGGTGCATGAACTGCTGGTCATTTGTCGCACCCATTCATGTGATCGCGTTAATTTCCTGTAGATATCAATGAAATGTACAGGTAGCGTTGAGATCACTCACCAGGGAAAAAAATCGGTAGGTGACGGGATTATCTTAGAAAAATTCTACGAGAAATGTATGTTGTGGCCTCGTCTGACGGGGATTCTCTCCGGGGACTCCCCTTATAAGGTTTAAGCTAGGATTTAATTTGATCCCAAAAGAGGCCAATCACGCCACATTCTTCGTCCTCATTTGAACTTATCAGGTGGATGCATAAGGATCGCTTGCCTGGCTTCCAGGTTACCTGTTTCAGGGTGTTGACAAGAAGACCGTGCACCGGCCAATCGGTTTGCACAGCCGGTCAATAAGACGAGATTTGCAGGCTCATAAGCGGTTTACTCCAAACCGGAGCGAACTGACGGTCACCTGGTGGGCGTGTGACGTGGTTAACGAACCGAAGCTGCTTGCGAAAGGGTCGCATGGCTGGTTCTTCTAAACCGGGCTGATGGCTCACAATACGGATAGATGGCTCCCTGTAACCAAAAGTTGTGGGAACTCTTGGCTTTTAACTGAGGAACTGAAAGCCTCTGGTTGATAAATCTGCGGGTCTGCGAACTTTGAACAAATTAGAGTATTCATCTGTGAGACTGCATAGTTTTCAATACTATTCAATAGTTTGTAGATTCTAGTGCTGGACAGCCCCACTTATTCGGGCGCCTCTCTAAAGGGTGAGCATTTTCTATGGGAGTTCTATTAAACTCGTGTTCCCCGAAATTGAGGCCAAATTGTTTTTGGGCTTGTTTTTTCAACCTTATAAAAATAAGCAAACAGGCTGAAATGGGTTTCACCTAGAAATGCATATCTAGTTTAGTGCAATTGTAAGAGGCTTTCAAACAATGCATTGGGGAATTGGTTGCTGTCTTTGACGCTATCAGTGAAACCCTTCCCCAGACAACTACCTCTACAGGATATTTCCTTAAGTGATCTTAAGTGACGCTAGGTTATCCTTGTAGCCGTATATAATAGGCAACCCCGTAGTACTAATTCAGAACATTGGCGGAACCGTAGGACTCCAGTGTTTGTGGATCACAAGACGAACCTGACCTACAACTCCCTTGTTTTCTAGACCTGCAGAAGGAATTGGATTCGATCAAATGTGATCTGGATACGGTAACCAGAAAAATAAGGGTCCTTGATAAGGAACGCCAAGCACTTCAGAAGAGATACTCTGAGGTGAGTGCGTTTTGATCGGGCCTTTCGTCCACTTTTAGTGTACTGGCGCTCTGATACCGTGATTTTCTACCATCAAACAGTAAATCTGAGTTGTGGTTGGAACCCCGTGATTATCCGGCCGTCGTATTTTTCCCAAGATCCTCACATAGATAACAATGTGCCGGTGAGAAGACTGCTTCTCCGTTGGATGAGTCTCGTTGGAGATATAAGGTAGATTTCGCGGTTACTTGGTTTCCATTCGTCGCCGCCACTTCAACCTGAAGTTTTTGGAACGCGTGATTTTAGGGGATCGCCGTTGACACTAACCCCATTGTGGTACCCATTTGCCCCACAACCTTCTCAGTTCACCTAAATGAAGTCCTATGGCAAAGAAGAATAGAGTGAAAGATCTAGTGCCAGTCTACCACAAACATTTCAGTTGTCTCCACCTCAAAACATTCACTCAGAGAGTTGACAGATTCTTTTGATGGGTAATGGACTAGGATTCGGTACTGAATTTATAGAGCTACAGATAGACGGGTTTGTATTGGCATAGATAGGGAGCTGGAACTGATAATTTAAGGAGGTTAGCTGCCGCTCCCTGAGTAGTTCAGTCATGCTTGTATCCGTGCTGTGGCCCATAGAAGCAGTCTCTCCATTCACCTAGTACGATTACGTGTTGCTTACAACCGTCGGTTGGGCGAAAGACCGTCTTGTCGGTCGCAGGGACAACTATCAAATGCGCCTGCCGGAAGTCCGAAACTTAGCGAAAGCTGCCACGAGCAGTTTTCGCACCATTTCATCCTTTCCCGTTTCTGGTGCTCAAAGTCCTTGTTCAAGATTAGAATCATTTTCCATAGGCTTCCAGTATTACGTCTTTACGTGTATCGCGATATATCAAATATCATACCAACTGAAACATGAAGCGGCCTGGTGCAGCACATTCAGTTGCTTAAATACATCATGGAACGAGTGATTCAGCTGGGTTCCAGGTGAGTCTCTCGTCAAAACCAAGTTAATGTGCAAATGAGTATAGTTCGCTAATTTCGTGCGATTCGGGTTCAAGTAGAACATAAGGTTGATGGAAACCTAGGGACTGCGGCTACCTGATAAGCCCCAAGAAGGGCGAAACCGGTCGTGAGCTGTCGATGGATTTTCAGCAACAGCTTCACAAATGATCTACCAAAGCACATCTCCCACATCTGATCTTCTTTGGACACATTTTGTGTTGATATCTGGAAAACGTTCAATTGTGTACGGTATACTGATACGTAAAAATGAACTACGTGATGGACGCATTCGAAACTGGTCAATTGAATCTGAGGTTTTTTAGCGGTACACTTCAACGGGTTGTTCCTCTGGTTTCTGATATCGGCGCAGGCTGAAATCGAATAAACATTATTAGCCCCATTGTCATCTTACCTCTTTCAGACAGTTTCAGTCTCCTGTCTATCCTTCTTATCGCATCTCCCGAACTAGCATCAACTTTCTCCTTGCTACAACATTTGAACGTTTTCATAAAATTTGTTCTTCCAGCCAACTTAACCAAGTTATTACTATCCTGCGTCTGTGTTCTTCCCTTGCACAGCAGGATTTTGGCACTTCCTACCACCGTTAATATTACTGGCCTACAATAACGTCCAACTGTTCAAGACCCAAGTTAATACTTTCCTTCGGAATTTACTTTGATTGCTGGTTCATTTGCAAGCTCACTTGTTTACTTGTGTCTTAACTTACAGTACGTCTCTCATGATGATGCTATCATTCCTCTGTAAACCGACTTCATCAGATAGGCCTTACCATCGAATTTCCTTCAGTCTAATTTCTTATCGTAAGTCCCGATTACATATGGTTTCATTTTTGGTGCATTTATAGGGCAGCTTGCGCTTTCTAGACATGTTGATTCAAAATGTGGTTTAAAGACTACACTAATTGGGCTAGAATCTGTCCTGTTACTCAGAGTATAACATCTTATTTTACACCGTTTCTGTGCGTTGCGTATATCTAGATGGGAATTCATTCGTTATACGTTGAATAAGTGTTCCACTCCCACTCTAAAGAACAGTACCTAGACTTTTTGAGTATGGTCCACATATGCTCTACGCTCATGCTCATGTTTGCCACCTTTGACATATTCATACACGCTCAACAATGCCTTGCAGACGGAAACTAGCTTCACAAATGATCTACCAAAGCACATCTCCCACATCTGATCTTCTTTGGACACATTTTGTGTTGATATCTGGAAAACGTTCAATTGTGTACGGTATACTGATACGTAAAAATGAACTACGTGATGGACGCATTCGAAACTGGTCAATTGAATCTGAGGTTTTTTAGCGGTACACTTCAACGGGTTGTTCCTCTGGTTTCTGATATCGGCGCAGGCTGAAATCGAATAAACATTATTAGCCCCATTGTCATCTTACCTCTTTCAGACAGTTTCAGTCTCCTGTCTATCCTTCTTATCGCATCTCCCGAACTAGCATCAACTTTCTCCTTGCTACAACATTTGAACGTTTTCATAAAATTTGTTCTTCCAGCCAACTTAACCAAGTTATTACTATCCTGCGTCTGTGTTCTTCCCTTGCACAGCAGGATTTTGGCACTTCCTACCACCGTTAATATTACTGGCCTACAATAACGTCCAACTGTTCAAGACCCAAGTTAATACTTTCCTTCGGAATTTACTTTGATTGCTGGTTCATTTGCAAGCTCACTTGTTTACTTGTGTCTTAACTTACAGTACGTCTCTCATGATGATGCTATCATTCCTCTGTAAACCGACTTCATCAGATAGGCCTTACCATCGAATTTCCTTCAGTCTAATTTCTTATCGTAAGTCCCGATTACATATGGTTTCATTTTTGGTGCATTTATAGGGCAGCTTGCGCTTTCTAGACATGTTGATTCAAAATGTGGTTTAAAGACTACACTAATTGGGCTAGAATCTGTCCTGTTACTCAGAGTATAACATCTTATTTTACACCGTTTCTGTGCGTTGCGTATATCTAGATGGGAATTCATTCGTTATACGTTGAATAAGTGTTCCACTCCCACTCTAAAGAACAGTACCTAGACTTTTTGAGTATGGTCCACATATGCTCTACGCTCATGCTCATGTTTGCCACCTTTGACATATTCATACACGCTCAACAATGCCTTGCAGACGGAAACTAAACTGAGGACTGCGCAGGTCCGCGAGCTATCCAGTGGTTCGAATTCCTCTCCGTATGACAGAGCAGATGGATTTCCATGGTCCTTGGAAGTGTTGCGAGTGCAACGGGAGTTGTTCCACCTCAGCGCTTTCCGACCACTTCAACTGAGGGCCATCAACGCCACATTGGATGGAAAAGATGTCATTTTGGTCATGCCGACTGGTAAGTGTTTGTCGCCTTTTTGTACATGTCATGTCCACCTACGTTAGCGCATCCTAACTGCAGATTGACCAATACGTTTTCCAATAGGTGCTCGAAAATACTCATGTATTAGGTTTTGAGCACAGTGGTTCACGCACAGGGCGGGATTACGGCGGAACAGTGGCAGTAACAAGTGCAGTACGCTGTTGTCTTCTACAGGGACAGCGGGAAGTGTGCACGAGGGTGTATTTGACCCTGTACCGTCGATCCGCGTTGAACACCTCTGCCAGGTCCCACAGATTATTGTTTTCGAAATCATCGATAAAATAACCATGGGTGTCGCACAATCTGCACTGCATTCTGATGACAGTTTTCATGACAGTTTTCTCCATGCACAGACTTCCAGTGGGCTAATCACTATTGACGGACATTGACTCATCAGATATGCTCCGAAGTACCTGTTGAACGTAATATAGCCGGAAGATATGGCCAATCGTTGTGCGATAACCCAATGTCGCTTGAGTTCCCAGTACTCAATCATTTTTTGTGATATAAGAACATGTCTTTATGACGACTCATCCTGCTTATTAAATATCCTCATTTCAATAAGGAGATATAGAAGTTTTCAATCGCGTCTCATCGTGCAAACGCCCAGTGTTGCTATACTATTGGCATAAAAACTACACTTATTACTCATTAGCAGGCCAAGACAAGGACAGAGCTCCCATGTGTCTTTTCCTGGCAGAGATAGGTCATTTAATCGAATGGCGATCGCCTCAGCTTTTTCGAACATACGTTCGTGAATAGCCTTTGCAGATTTTTTCGTACCTAATAGATTACGCTGAATCACGGCGGGATCGATCCGGTTGTCGGTATCGATCAGATGGCTCGGAATAACGGCTGTCACGCGTTTGGCTGTTTCAGTTTTTCGGCAGATCGATAGGTGTCCCCTGATTATATGAGACGAGAGCCGTGTCGTTCGATCCACATAGTTTGCGGAAGATTCGCAAACAAATGATTACGTAATTTCGGACAGATTTGTATTAAGCTGATGCTGAATTGTATCCTCTGCTGTGCTATATTGAACGTTGGCCTCAGGCAGGTAGTCAGGCACCGGAGCATATTCTATGAAGCCGCGTAGCTTCGAAATAACATCTGAATGTGGATGGGCTTTGTTACTGTTGGGCTTCTTCTCTTGGATACTTGATGTCTGGAATGCCCCCGTACGAACTTACCTGGGTGACCATTCTCTCTTAAAGTTCGCCAGGTAAGCTGCAGTCTAGCAGCCGATTTGTCAAGTGTGCAGGCCTTACGAGCTCTTCAGGTCCACGATGTTGTCTACTGACCGGATCGTGTAGGTTTTTCGTACCGTCCGGCCCTTAGTTGATGCAACATCAAGAAACCGGAAGTTGCCAATTGAATGTTCTTCCTCAGTAAAAAGCAGTGCAGTATGGACAGTGTTAAAAACATTTAGTACTAGATTTTTAGCATGGGATTCAGGAATAATTGAAAAATTCATTAACATGTCGTTTGTAAAACGGTACCTATTCTGTGGTTGCTTTCAAAGCGTTTTCGGGCTTGTCCACAAAAATATCAGCTAAACTGGGACCGAGTGGAGTGGATTTGCAACTCCATCACTGCCGGTATTTAATGCTATAGAATCTGTGTCGAGAGTGCAGCATAGGAGTTCCTAAAAGTCAGTGAGTGAGATGAGTCAATTATTATTAGAATTGATGGTTAAATCGCAGGTGAACCGGACAATTTTTAACTGAAGTACACTAGTAAATAAGTTTAAAACGTTTGGGTGGCAAAAGTTTCACAAACCTGTGTTATTCTGCTTGGTAGCTAAATGAAAAACACGTGACCTTGATCACGGGATCTGACATCCATTTCGCTGGATCACCATGTTGGGCTAGTATGTGCCTGTGTGTGTGAATCATGGACATGAGAATACTGGACATCCGGAGTATCCACTTTGGATGTAATAGAAGATTTCATCCCATCATAACGAAATGTGCTCAAAAATACTCGGATACGGATAAATTTTCAGCACCCTAATGCAAAACCCATACGGTAGTATTTCTCCTAGTGAAGGAAGAAGTTTGGAATCCTCGACGTTGTTTCTTCGAAACAAGTGCTTCTTTGGTTAATGCGAGTCCAACTTGCCCCTTGTTAGTAGCGATGTTTGTCCACTTGAGGACTATTTAGATGATGAACTTATGAGTTTCCGAACCTGAGTGGCGTGCGCCACATCATATTGGGGTTCCTGATGTCAGTATCCCCACTAGCCACTTGTTTTCGTATTAAAGTTTGATAGCTCGAGTGCTTGGAGTTTCTCAATCGTAAAAATATCATTTTCTCTAACCGATTTGCACGGCACACTCAAGGGTTGTTTTCCTTCCAAAACTTGCAGCTCAGCATGCTTAATCAGTTACGCAGTAACTTTTGCCAACATACTCCTTATAGCACCTTTGAGCTCGCCATTAGCCTGTGTTCATTCAGGGATCAAATAAATCTCTCTCCATCCTAAACACGGCTATCTGTTCACACGCCTCTTACGGTCACCGATCCTGGTGTGCAACTCCCTGGATGTTTGGCTCATATAAACCGTGCGGTCGATACGTTATTTTGTATACACAGTCCCCAGTCCTTTTAACCAGAAGACATTCCTTCAGTTGCACCAATACTGAGCGCAAAGTTTTATTCCTTCTGGAACGTCACTCCAATGTTAGCCTTATTCAACACCCTCCTAGTAACTTATGATGCTCCTGTTTTTTATGGGATGTTTGGTGTTCTCAGCGATTCCCGGGCCTTTACCCATCTTAGTTGTCGCTCCATTAGACCCACTGGGTATTCAGCGTCTTGGGGTCCCCTTTTTTTTACCTCAATTTGTGTTACTGCTTGGTCAACCTCTTCTGTATACAGTGCTTTTGGTTAACAATCGCTCCACTAAAACGCCCTTTCGCTGCCTAGCTTCTATGTCACCCGACGTATGCTGCCTTTGGGTGTGGTGGTGAGTAGTTTAAGACCTCGCCACTCTCTTTTAGTACCCGGTAAACAGTAATTTTTAATTCCCCATCATTCTTGTGTCATGCAGTCAAGGAGTGAACTTTTGCCCCATGCTAAACTTAATGTGGAGATCAAAGTGTTAATATATTGATCACGACGAGCGTGTCATCTACTGAACGCCAAAAAACGTCGGTGGACGCTCGAACCCGGCTAGAGCTTTCTGTTCGGTCTTTCTTCGGCCAAAATTGAAGATCTTGGAGATTCTATTACAAGACCTTGTTTTTGAGAGTACGTAGCCGAGTAAAAGCGAATTGACCAAGGTTTAAGCTTCATCCATCTCAGCTACAGAGAGTTGTGTTTTCATTGCAACGTTGTGTCTGCCAATAATAATCGCCTTGCTACCTCAAAAGCGTGTCTTGGCAATATTGGTGTACATCGAGTTGACATCAGAACTAACGGAAACGCAGTCCAGAATCTTGAATGTATGTGGACGAATTATCGGTTAGTGACTTTAGGATACCTGCCAGGAATCTGGCTAGCTCATGTGTGTCGAGCCTGTCTTATGGAAACACCCACCTTGTGAATATCAGGTGGCCCATAAAGTCGTGGTTGGATTGTACTTTTTTGGGTACAACCGATACTTGCCTTGACCCAGATGATTTACAACCGACCTTAGCTACGCCCCAACTTCAACCTTACTCTTACTCATCATTGACGTAATCGTCACTGCTAATTTCTCGGTGGGACCCATGAGCTAGGTGTTGTCTAACCTGCAAATAGTCAGTCTTATTCATGGCGACGGTGGCGTTACCTTTATCTGCCTTTGTGATTACGAAACTAATAGTGTCTGTATAAAAACACTGTTCCTCTTCCGGCTGTGCTGTTCGCCTCTTATGACTGCAGGTGCTGGAAAGAGTCTCGTCTACCAACTCCCTGCCCTGCTAGACCACTCGCGATTTCGTCCGGATCAGAAGACAAACCCCGTGACCCTAGTTATCAGCCCACTGGTATCGCTAATGACCGATCAGACCATGAATTTAATCCGATCTGGAATTCCCGAAGGAATGGTCAAGGCGTTCGATGCAAATACACCATTGACGGAGCAGAAAGAGATTTTGGACTCGCTCGTTGGAAAGTATGTGAGTAGTCTGCTTTCCGAAGCTCATCTGCTGCGTGTGTTTGTTTTTGGTGTCGGACCAAAAATTAGTGTTTGAAGCTGGATAACCTTGTTTTCTTTGTAACGTACTGCTCATAAGGTTGTGAAAATCCGTCGATAGCCCACGACCGGTTTCGCCCTTTTTGGGGCTCATCAGGTAGGCGCAGTCCCCGGGTTTCCGTCAACCTTATGTTCTACTTGAAACCCAATTGCACGAAATTAGCACGGAACTAGCTCTAACTCTTGAATGGATATCTCATTGTCTTGGTTATCAACCCAAAATACTTCCTACTAGTGCTAACACTTATCCTGTGACTGCGCAGACATTGCGGAACACCAGTGAACTGGCTAGTCTGAGTTTTGTGCGTGCAGATAAGAATGTTGAATCTTCTGTTATGTTCATTACCGATCATGCGAAGACCGATCTAATAAATTTGGTGCATGATATCAACATCTGAATCACAATGGCGTTTCTGTTCGCTCTGCCGTCTTGCGTTTGCCATTCTGGATGCAGGATCGGGATGACACTAGGTGTGCAGTTCGCAGCAACTTACCGTGCTACTTCATCATCATCACCTATCTTGTGACCAGCTAAAACGACTTATTGGGGAAGGCTACTACGGTTTTATAGCGAATGAGGTTAGTCATATGAAGATAACTGTCTTATGCTCGAAGGAACCACAAAATGATATGCGATTCCTGCCGAAATGCGAACTGTTTTTATTCTTGCTAGCATTTTGATTCATACACAGTCTACAGGAACCTTTGACCGAATGATCCTGGTTTCCCCGTTCCATACAGAAACACCAAGAAATCAATCTCTTTGAGGTTGCTGTACGTGACACCGGAGAAATTAGCAAAGAGCAAGCGTCTTCTGAATCGACTGGAAGCTGCCTACAGTAAAGGTCTTCTTGGTCGTATAGCCATCGATGAAGTGCATTGTCTTAGCCAGTGGGGACATGATTTTCGTCCGGATTATCAATTTCTCCACGTGCTCCGGCGCCAGTTTCCCACTGTGCCCATACTGGGAATCACAGCAACAGCCTCTGGTAATGTCGTTGTGGATGTACAGTCAATGCTGGGCTTGCAGCCGGATAGATGTCTCGTTGTTCGCTCGTGCTACAACAGAAAAAACCTGTATTACGAGGTGGGTTTACGGTGGGTTTTTACGGTTATAAGTTATGGCTGCTCCGGGATCGTTAAGGCAGCAAGTGACTAGTTCATGCCCTCATCCTTTTCGTCGTACTCCTGAGATTTTACGTTCTATTGACTGCTAACCATAGTTTTCCCATAGTTAACTACATGGGCAACTATGTTGTCGTCCCTCGGGCAGATACTGATTAAAAATAGAACCAAATTGCCTTCTAGGTCTAGCAGGTGGGCCAGTGGGTGATCCCCGAGGCCAGCCTCACCAAGGTGTCTGGATCTACCCTTTTAACAAGTTGACATGGTCGGGGCTGCACTATGGGCATCTGTTCCCATCTGAGTACTTCGGTTGTTTTGAAGCACTTCAAAGCCTATCAAATTTGAGTGGATAGCCATTTCCCAAGCCACTCCATAGAGTGCCCGGTCCTCGCGTGACCAAATGAGGAAATCAAAGGTTTTCAAACTTACCTGAAGGTGTAACTTAGGGCGTTCCTTATTTTAAACTATTCTTTAGCTGATCTTAGTCCAGTAGTTTTGCGATGGGAGCTTCGGCCATTCTTGTTGAGCAACCTCAGCACCACAGTTGGTTTCGTATCAGACTACTTTCGACTCCAATGGTGTTTCCCCTTCTCGGTTTGCTAATCTTATCCGTAGAATTTTGTGGAGACATTGCGGGTGAAATGGGTCACGGACCTCGAACATATCTGCATGATTTCCAGGTTTCCGTGCTGCACAATATTGGGTACACTGCAATACTGGCATCTATACGGAATTGATTATTGCCCCAGACACGCCTCTTCAGGCGACCAAATGCAGTGCTGACCCTTGCAGTTTGTGCCTTCACTTCTCTATCAAGCATTACGTCTGTGGATGGTGTACTGCTAAGGTAACAGAACTCCTTATGACATTTTATCCGATAGCCATCTAGCTGAATATTCGGGGTGTTTTGTTCAGCCCCCGGTGTAGGCTGATACATGCCAAGTATTTTCAAAGTCAAAGCGACGTGCCGCTGAACCGAAGGCCATAGTCTGCGAATATAAAACGCAGTCATTGATTAACAGCAGCATACAGACCTTGGATTCGTGGAGCGGTGTTTTGGCCAGCCCATTCTGCAAATCTAGCAGTTATCACCGTGGCGTAACACTTCCGGACGGACTATTGTTCGATAGTGACTTAACCTTGCTTCATCCCGGTATCGATCTCGCACTCCATTGGAGTGGCCGCGCATAACCTTAGCTTGGTTTACCACCTGCTGTAGTTGTGCCATTGCAGTCTTTCGTTGTATTTCGGGACAGGCGAGCTATGTAGCCCAAATCTACATTGCTCGAACGGTTGCATAGTGTTAAGAAGTGGTGTTCCTGATCTTCCAGAATTTGGTCCGACCAGTTGGGCTTATCGTCGGTTTGTTCTTAATGTCGGTCCACAAGTTTGTTTGCCTTTAGCAAACAACACCCGCGATCAGAGCTCCTCACTTCTTTTAGCCCACCGTATATTTTCTATTTTCCGATGTTTCAGAAGCCTGGTCTTTGAATCTGTAAATTGCATTCGGACCTTATCGAATCTTGAGTTGTTTCGAAGGCCACTGAGTGGAAGCGACGAGCCATTCCTATCAGACCAACCTCGTCTCGGTTCTTGGTTCATTCCAGGTGCATTCACAGTAGCCGCGTGTTCGTGTTGAGCCCACCAACAAGCTGGTGGACCTAAGGCTCGGTTATCCGATGAACGTTTGCGTTAGAGGTTCGCGAAGTCTCGACGTTGTTTCCTGTTTTCTTTAGTTTTCTCACATGCAATGTAAATGTATTCCATGCTGCACATGCGTCTCAGTTGTGCTTTATCCATACCGCAGGTACGAACAACGTGTGGACCGCCTAAATCTGCCGTCCAGCAGCTTTACCTTTTGATCCAAAATCGCTACTGTGGCCAATCCGGTAAGGTCAAAAGCTTTCGAACATGCCTTTGATAACTTAAATATTCGTATAATCCATCACGAACGCCTCGCGTTTTGATGAGGTGGAATGCTCACGTAACAATGTGCAATGCACGGTGCAAAGTGGTATGCGAAACGTTCTCATTTGCTTCGCCTTTAGTGCTATGAGCTGCCATATTCTTATGACATTCTTTGGTATGCTCCCCAATTCTATTATATAACAGTGATGTGACTTGTATTTGGCTGTCTAACGTAAATATTGTGCTACTTCCTAACCGGATTTCTCAGTTGAGGCCTTTCTGCCTTTTGTGTACCAAATAGGACGATTCCAGCATTCCTGTCTAGTATTGAAAATCCTAAGTTATCTAACTGTGTTCGTACAGTCACACAGTCGTGGCCAGCTATTTTTAACCTTTGAGGCCAGGAGGTGGTCAAAGTTTCGAGTTTACCGAATTCGCTTCCTTGAAGTATTTTGGGATCAGAATACAATTGTGAAAACCCAAAAACGAACTCTTATAAGTGGCTATGAAATCAAAAGCAAGGAAGGAGGTTCGAGTCAGACGGCCTGTTTTGTACTTATTCCAAGTCTCCTGACACTCAGCACGGAGGAGTTTCAGCTGGCTCACTCATTTGACTAAGTTACTCTTATGCGACCAGTTGTTTAGTCATCACTACCCTTGAACCACCAAATAACTTTGCGTAGGTGAAATGAAGAGGGTATTGTCCCAGAAAGATTTGGAATGACTGTTCTATGCACATCGGCATTGATAGCTTGATCCTTTGACTTTCGTACCAAGCCCACACAATTCCTGTATATTTTCTATGACGGTGAAATGCCAGTGTTAACTGTTTTTGGTGGCTTGATTTCTCCTACAGGAATCATATACTGCTTCTCCCAAAAGGACACAGAGGACGTGGCTGGTGAGCTTCGGCAAATGGGTCTTCGAGTGGCTCATTATCACGCAAATATGGATGGGAATGCACGAGCGCGTGTTCACACTGACTGGTTCACAGGAAAAGTCCTTGTATGCTGTTCAAAACTGTGGTGGTGGTCTATGGATTGTTAATGGCTCTTTGCGTGAGATATGATTTGACGGATCTCTACAACGTAGTCGCGCGCTAGAGCTGGTCCTAATAATTGCCTATATTGTCAGTGCTCATGGACTTATGTTTTTTCAGGGAGGAACAATTAGCCATGATAAATGAACTAGCATCCAGTCAAAGCTGAAGCCTTTGGTTCTATGGTTATCATGTTCTGTGTGATTAACGATTATCTGGGATAAACGACCCGACCGTTTACGAGTGGTGGAATTGCTCAAGTCAACCGCTATTCAGGAAAAGTTGAACCACATAAATCAGATTAGCATTCTGTATGATCATCTTGCCAAAAGAGTAATCAGGATATCATATCTACCTGATGGGCCACAATAAGGGTGAAATATTTCATTTAGTAAAATTTGCATCTTGTTTCGATCTATGTGGGTCGTCGACAGTCAAGCTGAGTTAGCAGTCGACTGGAATAAGTTGTACCATATTAAATAAGTCAATAAGCTGTTGTATTAGTGCAGCGCGTAGTGCTCGAGTCAGCAGCATCAAACTGCTATCCAACTAGTCTCAGAACCGCTCGCCTTCCATTGCTCAGTCTGTTAAAAACCGACCACCACACGTATTCGGCATCCAAGTGGTTTGTTCGCTGAGCTGGGCAATTTGATTGCGAACATTTCATCACCAATTGAGGTAGGAATATACCAGAAAAGGATGCTCGGTGCATGTTACATAAGCTTTAAAGCGTTGTAGTCTATTTTTAACCGTAATCGCTACTTCACTCTTTAGCATCATTCCAAAATTTTCACCATGGACTTGCTTGCTCAGGTTTTCTAATGGTACCGTGCATGAAGCAGCGTAATGTACAGTCAACCAATCTGTCTTTTTATTTCAATACATCAGCAGATGTTTTTTACTCTCAGGTCATTGTTGCGACTGTCGCTTTTGGAATGGGCATTGATAAACCGGACGTCCGTTTTGTCCTGCATTTCTCCGCAAGTAAAAGCTTGGAAAACTATTATCAGGAATCTGGACGTGCTGGTCGTGACTCTGAGGCGGCCGAATGTGTAGTTTTGTGGCGGTTTTCCGACTTCTTTCGACTAGCCAGTATGGTCTCGTCAGAACGCACTGGCCTTTCGAAACTCCTGCAGATAGTGGCCTACTGTTTGGATCCAGTCACTTGTCGCCGTCTATTAATATCCAAGCACTTGGACGATCCAACATGGTCACCAAGCGATTGTGCGGAATCTTGTGACAATTGCAGACGCGCAAACTCCAAGGACAAAGGTAGACAAAACTTGACCGAACGACCATGGATCCAAGATGCTTGTGTCAACCTTTGATTCTAGCAGTTTATCCTGATTAACTTAAGAGTACATGTTTACAATGAGCGTAAAAATGGGGACCACGCTACCAGGCTGATTGAATTTTTTCGCTCATTGTCGAAAAGAGCCTCCTGAGTGGGTTGGGGTGAGTCACTACTGTTCTTTTCTTATGGAGATTTCGTCCTGTAAGTGAAGCCAATCTATGCTGAAAAGCCTAGAAGCAAGCAACAGCTGTTTCATCCTTATGGGAATCATCAGCAGTGCGCATCTCACGAAACTCTGAAGAGTCTCGAACCCGCGACCTCCTGGCTAGTAGTTTGAACACAACCGTTCGGCCACGAGTGGCTTCGCACTTAGACAAGATATGGCGCCGCTCATCCTTCAATCACGGGATCCACATCACGCGGTCACACATGTTGACTGGCTCCTCGAGCGACGACTTCTCACTCATCGGTTTCACTCATCATTACTGTTCTATTTTCAGCTGCCTCAGAATCGCCTAGGCGATATAGTAGGAAAAGTCTATTAACTTGAAGCTGTTGATTCTCAGTGATCGCTTCTGCGCAAGCTGAAGGAAGCTATTACCACCAAGGCCGAAACATCCGCTATTACTCACCGTATTCAAGTAACCAAATTAACACGGTAATTTTCCGCCTTGCTGGCACGACCTCAGAGATTGATTTTTATCAGCAACCGCATTTATTAGAAGGCTCGCAATCACTCAACTCAAAAGTGAAAACTGGGCGAATCGTTGGATCGAAAAACTTCGTTGGAACACCATCATTCAGTGATGAATCAACTAACACCTTAACCATCCTGGCGGGATAAGGCGTTGATTATTGGCTGGATACATTGCGATCCGAACTCTGGTCCGTGTGTTCAACCCGCACTCTTGATTTCCACCTCAAAAGAATTGATACCTATTTGTCAGGCAGCTTTGCGACAATTTTGTCCACCATTCAACAGACAACCACAAATCCCACCCCTGGTGAACACCGGACAATGCGAAAGAGGGTGCCCCCTAAAAATCGTGTTTGGTTGATAAGTAGTATTTGAGCAGAGCCCTATACTACAGTACATATTTGTGGCTTCGGATATTGAGGGTAACTGGAGAAACTATATCGGCTGTAATGTTGTATATTGTGGAAGGCAAGGGTTATGCCAATAACCATAAGGCTGAGCGTAAAATTAGAGTGGCGCGCGGCGTCACGAAAGAATGTGTTTTAAGCTGCGATTCCAACCTGGTCAAGGTTTTCCCGTGACGCGAACCAATGGATGTTTTCCCATGCAACCTACGAAGTCTTGGTTTTATTCATCATACTTCCAACTATCGGCAAAATCCCATCGATCCTGTACCTGGAACGAGCGTAAATCATGTAGAAAGGTCGTGGGCTGTCGGCGGATTTTCAGCGACCTTATGAGTAGTACATTACAAAGATATACGTGTATCGCGATATCTCGAGTATCGTAGCGACTGAAACATGAGGCGGCCTGGTGCTGCACATTCAGTTGTCTGAGAACATCACAAACGAGAGATTCAGCTGGGTTCCAGGTGAGTCTCTCGAAAAAAAAAAACAAATTAGTTTGCAAATGGGTGTATAGACACCCTTCCGTTTCACCTACGTACTTTTTAGGTGTTTGCTATGTAAAACGACTCATACGAATCAGGCAACGTTTTCCAAAGTCTGTTGACACCCTGGTGAAGGGTTGCATTGCGAACAACCTCTTACGGATCCTCGAGAATCGGGTATCTCCAAAACGATGCCAGCGCGTTTCTTAATATACTAGTGCCTCTGCAATTAATCTTGCATTCGTAATTTTGGGCAAGCTGTCAGGTAGCACTGGTTGTCATTCGGGGACACTACAGCCCATCGTATAGTAGCTAAATGGTTCGGCACTCCTGGTGTTCAGACGTCTACCAGCCCGTGAATGTGTTGCATAATTGCTCAATATATAGAGTGATCATCAATAATATTTTGATCTCGCACCATATCTGTTCTCTCAGAGTTTCGTGACTCTTTCATGTGCTGCGTTTCCATGATTTCGTTGCTGAATCGTGGGATTTGCGATTAGCCTGACGACTATTTCCTCATCTAATGTACGGGAACGTGTGAACGTTACGTGCTAAACCAGCAACTGGGCGCAGATGTGGCATAAACATAAACCGACGGATGGAACGATGATAATGCGGGTCACATGTGGAATGCTCGGTATAGGGGCTACGGATATGTCGGGGTGTGGATGATCTCAGGGATACAATATACATTAACGTTAGTCCCTTTATTTCTGTGACCAAGCATAGCTAGGAAGTTTTAACATGTTTGTTTTCTATATTCTTCCCACAGGTTCAGTCCTTTCGCTAAACCTGACACAACTGATTTCGGAAATCAAAGCGCTGCTTTCGGAACATATGTCGCGGAAACAGGAGCGCATAACTGGTCCAAAATTGGTTGAGCTCATGAGTGCTAACTCTGAAATCCAGAGGCTAACTCGAGCGATGCTCAAAATAGATGAAAAAACGGACCGTATGTTCTTGGAACATGTGATCGCATGGTGTTTAGTCAATCAGCTCCTCAAAATGGAATTTCATTTCACTCCGTATTCGACTGTGTGCTATGTCGTGCCGGGAAAGGAAGACATCAATGACGCGGTCATGTCGTATGCTGTCCGTAACCACGAGCCAAACTCGCGAACACAAGTGGATGCGGAGAAACAGCCATTGGTCAAGCGCCAACGGTTAACGAATCATTCCATGATGGACATTAAATCAGATATGAATGACATTGTCAAGTAGTTGTAAAAATTGTAAATAAACCCAATGAATTGCCGTCAAAACCCGTGGAGTACCTCAAAATATTATGGTTCTTAGTTCTCTGGGAACTATTTTGAGTTGCCGGTTAGCGGAACTGTCCTTGTGCCCCATATTGCATAATACACTCCTTTGTTACCTCATCTCTAGGTTACGCAAGATGGTGAGTGATGCGCTTAGCCCTTGCTTCCTCGTCCAACCTGTCCTGTATCGATCATTTCCCCATGCTTTAAGGTAGATCTGATCTAATCCTCGTTCAGCGAATTAGCGTCTCCCTGCCAGTTGACTGCAAGAAGATGAAACGACTATAATAATCCACAGGCTACCTGGAACATTTTCTCGATGCGCGGTACTTCAACGAGATTGACGGACCGTCAATCACAGAACAACCCACAAAGTCTGGATAGTTGAGTTTATTGAAGAGGAACGATATGTAGATATTTACAGTATTTGAGAGGCGTTTTCATTCTTTGGTTCCCCGAGCCCGCAGTTCGGGGGGTAGAGGGACCGGCTTTGACGGATTATGATCAACTGTTTGATGCAATAAAACTCCGAGAAGACCACCACGTTGAGATATGGCTTGGCGAATGCGTTGTTCCTCTTGTAGCAGGTCGTCCATCTTGATGAACTAAAAACCACAAAACAATGTCTACATGGCCCGTATACTAGCAATTCGATGGAGTAATAGAATAAAATGATAAGATCGTCCTCCCATGGCACTTTCTTGATCTAAACCGTCGTGCAACCCGAAGGAAGCACTAAGGTTTGGGTACCATCAAGCACAAACGGAGAGTTCAGAGCTAGGGACGGTTGGTACTCCAACCATCAGTTTCTAAACTGTTTCGAGATACTCTAGATGAGACTCATGTGTCGGGCGTACTGTTGTTGGCAACATATCAGAATATTTGGAACTCGCAGAGTAAGTTTCCGAGAAATTTGACTGGACTGCAGCAGAACAATGCATTAATCTGTCTGCTAAAACGCACGCTCGATGTTATGTCTAGGGGTTTGCGAGTAAAATCCATGCAGAGAGTGTTGTTTTACAATACTGAGTGACCGAAATATCGAACAACCAATTGAATAAACATTTCCCCCTGGTAGGTCCACCGTTTATCAGAACGCTCACGACTCATTACATGAAGAACATAATCGTGCTTTGTAAAAGAGCAATATTCAGTATTGTTTCACTCTTAATTGGCACGTAAATTCACTCACAGTTGCTTACTCAACTGTCTTGTCCAAACGGGTTACATAATACGGTTGATTCGGAGTTGGTTCCGCTTAATCTGTCGCCAGTCAAATTACGGTAAGAGAGCTGGCAACTGCCTTTGCGATCCACAATTTCAGATTGTCAGTGTGCCTAGTACTCCCACAACAGCGAAATACTCGGGTTTTGCAGAAGCGCGCGCGGTGCATCAGGGATGGGGGACTGTGCGCGTTATCAATTTGCGGATGTTCGTTTCAACTTGTTGAAAAGCCTATAGTTATGTTGGGTACATGAACAACTGAGTGTAGGCACACTCACCAGTCTCGATGTTTGTGTGGGTCTGATCAAGACATCGAGACAACTAGTACAGACGGTCGTGAATGAGCCTGGCTGATCGAGCTTGGAAGCTCACCTCTAGAAGTTTATTATCGAAGCCTATACGTAGGACCGTCCTGTGGGACGATATTTTTGGCTTACTTCAGAGTCACGTGTAGGCACATCCGTCAGCGTCACATGCTCTGAGTAAAACACATCCATGGGCTGTTTGTCGACCACCGGACCTTGTGTGGCTGCCGTGCAATGATAAGGGAGACCATAATCGTACACTGGGCATACAGGGCTACTGTTTTGAACAGTATACCGATCGCTGAGTGGTCAAGGCAACAGCTCACTACCATTGGTTGTGATTACACCACAAGCCCATTGATAGTGGTTAGAACGCTTTCATTTCAAACTAGCAGGTTCCGCGTTGCAGCACAGAACACCAGTAGAGAATAAGTCCAGAATCGGCTCTGAAGTAAAGACCGTACACACTCAGTGTAATATATCCTGGTTGATGCATGGAAGTTTCCTGTCGATAAAAATATTCTACAACGTTCTGTACATCAAGTGGAGGTCACCAAGAGCGGTAGTTCTAACTCAACCTACAGTTTCGTGACTGACGGTGTGATAGGAAAAGCTGTAATTTCATGTGGGTAGAGTTTTTTCTGGACAGTGTACTATTGGGAAAGAAGAGTAGATGCACTTTGGGTCTTCAAAATGTAAACTTGTCGGGAGGCTGCCTGACTGTGACAGACAGCTGTCGACAAGTTTACCTACTTTGGAAGTGTAGCAGGCTCCTGTCCTACGCGGGCGACTTGCCTACAAGGCAAACAAACCCATTCTTTTTTTCATACGGGAAACTACTCACAAGGTTGGTCGGGAGGCTGACTGTGACAGACAGCTGTCGACAAGTTTACCTACTTTGGAAGTGTAGCAGGCTCCTGTCCTACGCGGGCGACTTGCCTACCTACCAAACAAACCCATTCTTTTTTTCATACGGGAAACTACTCACAAGGTTGCTGGAAACTCTTCGACAGCCCACGACCGGTTTCGCCCTTCTTGGGGCCCATCAGGTAGGCGCGGTCCCCGAGTTTCCGTCAACCTTATGATCTACTTGGACCCAAATTGGACTGTTTTCGAGAAATACACTAATTTGCAGATCAATTTGGTTTTCACGAGAGGCTCAACTGAATCTCTCGTTTATAATATTCAAGTAGAACATAAGGTTGACGGAAACTTGGGGACTGCGCCCACCTGATGAGCCCCAAGAAGGGCGAAACCAGTCGTGGGCTGTCGAAGAGTTTTCAGCAACCTTGTGAGTAGTTTCCTTTACGAAAATATACTGCGATATCCCGAATATCGTGCCAACTGAATCATGAGGCGGTCTGTGTGCAGCACATTCAGTTGTAGAATACCCTAACCGAGAGATTCAGTTGAGTCTCTCGTGAAAACCAAATTGATTTGCAAATTAATGTATTTCCGGAAACCCATTCTTTCTTGTATCGCTATCAATTTAAGCACCTCGAACACAGACTACCGACCAAAAAAGGTTTTCAGCGCTTTTTTTTTGATGATCGACCCGTCATCACAACTGGACGAATGAGCTATCCATTTTGGACGCCAGCTGCTTCCGCCATAATCGGGTGAACAATGCAAACGTGTACAAAGTTAAATGCACGCTCAAGGAAAGATCAAATGAAAACTGCAGTGTAATCGGGTTACTTCGTGTTCTCTGACCTAGTGTCGCGCCTAACGTTTAAAAACCCTCGTTCAGGCTGGAGACGAGTGAACAGTGGGTTCAGTCCATAGAACCTTCGACTGTACATACCACCCACCTGGAAGTGAATTACAGCCCTCATTAACGGCTGGAGACACGTTTTGATGGGGTAACATGCTGCAGCTATTAAGGAGTTCGTATCTCCAAAGCTGTGATTGTTTTTTTTGGCTAGCACATCACAAATTTATGGTGCTCAACAGAAATCACGTGTACGGCTGAATGAATTCACGACTATATTTGTCGGAAAAGGGGGAAAGCGGAAATAAGGGTCAATGGGTCACGGAGTCCAGTGGATTACGTCATCGTCGAGCAAGTTTGTTGAGGACAGTTGCTCATAAGTTCACAGGTCCTACAAGCTTCTTTTGGGCACAGAGTTATGGGTCACGTAGCTGGATCCTAATGGCCTCTGCCTTCGATAATAGTCTGAATCGTATCAGTGTTGATCGGTTTAGGGGCATTCATTATATGATATAAAAGGCGTGCTCTTCGCCTATGACATGGTCGGTTTCGGCCAAGTGTGACGTGACTGCGCTTGAGCTATGCTTCCCTAAACCACCGTTCAGGGATACCATATTGTTCTTGCATTCTCACCGAGAAACGACTCGTCGTACGATCATCCTGTGATGCCCGGTCCGAGCATACGAGTGAGCACACATGAAAGTCAGTCTTTCAAATGGGACCTGAAATGAAACTCAAGCACAGATTGGTGGCCATCTGCGTCACGTCAGTAAAATGATTTATCCTTCTGGTAACCGGTTCAGCAACAAATTATCTTTTCTCGCTGTATGGTGCCGTCAACCTTGTTAAGGATATCAACGTTGAGAAAATGTAGCTGTCCGTTGCACCAAGGTTCAAGAGCGAAATTGACGTTGGTGTGAACTGATTTGAAACAGTGTAGCATGTCGGCTGAATTTGTTTACCAACGTTTCCCTTACCGAAACAGTAGAGTATATCTGTGATTTCATTGAGCGCAGTGGCAATATTGGCATACCCATTCAGGACCTCGGAAAACTACTAGTTTCTTAGATGTACAAATTTCAGTTTGGTTTCAACGGATCTGCAATGAGATCTCTGGGACGGATATATTCATGAGCCAAATCGAAACTCAACAACTAGGTGTACTCAATAGACAATACATACCGTATCGTTGTTAAGCAAATAAATCATCTCCACGTGCAACAGCTAAAATCACCACAGCCAACAGCAACATCAGTTTTACTTTTGAACGTGGGTGCAACGGATAGCTAAATTTTCTCGATGTTCACACCCTTTAAGAGGTCGATCGTAGTACACAGCGCAAACATTAACGTGCCATTCAAGGTAGACAAGGCTGCTTAACTGGTTACTGGAAACTTAAGACATTCTACCGACATGACGTGGATGGCCACTAATCTGTGCTTGAGTTTCGTTTCAGGTCCCATTTGAAAGACTGACTTTCATGTGTGCTCACTCGTATGCTCGGACCGGGCATCACAGGATGATCGTATGACGAGTCGTTTCTCGGTGAGGATGCAAGAACAATATGGTATCTCTGAGCAGTGGTTGAAGGAAGCACAGCTCAAGTGCAGTTGCATCACACTTGGCCGAAACCAATCATGCCATAGGCAAAGAGCACACCTTTTATATCGTACAATGAATGCTCTAAACTGATCAAGACTGGTAAGATTCGGAGGCTATCATACAAGTTACTGAAAACAAGCCTGGTTAGCTAATGTCGTTTCCGTCATGGATTTTATCGTGATGGCCAACCGTTCCCAGAAGGATGGAGTAATGCTACAAATCATGATGAGGATGAGCATTTGTAGGCTCTGATGCTGTAATCTCCATCCACCTAATATATCGATAGCAATTATTATTTCGGAGGCGTTGAGGAAACTCCTTCAAGTCCATCTACTTGCGACCACCTCAAAACTTGGTAACTCAACCCCCACAAATTTACCCTTCCGTTCGCCCAAAGTGCTTGGATGAAGGAGCCACTGGGGTTTCGATTTTACACGTTGGGTGATCCCTTAAGGGCATTTTTACTCAGGTCTGAATGGCTACTAATTTAATAATAGTAATAATAATCGTTCAGCTATATCATTCTTCCGGTGTTTAGCTGCCATGCCACCCAAAGGAAGCAAGAGGGCTGGAATAATAGCAGGTTGCCCAAGCCTAGACAGGAAAAGTCGAGAGGCAGAGGTCAGGTTCGAACCACGGACCTTTCGGTCAGTAAATTGGCGCTCTAACCACTTGAGCCATCTCGCCCCAGATAGAGACTGACTCCACACTGAATTTCATTGCACATGATATTTTGGAGAAGACATGGAGGATTGGCGTTTATTCAAGGTGACCACCAATAGGGTGTATCCACAGAGTGCTCTCCGAAACGCACCGTGCCGCATAATCGACAGATTAACGATGCCTCCACAAACGTTCCACGTTACCGGTTTCCTAGCGGAACACCAATCGCTTTAGTCCTCATCAACATTAAAGTGGATAAACTGTCGGGACGAAATTTGGAAATATAAAAGCAAATAACCAGAAGTCGCGAAATCTCATTCTTGGAAAAAGTCATTTATTTACGGATGAGGCTGAAGATCTTGTGGTGGACACTCGATCATACACAGGCGTAAATGCAACTTACGTAGCGGTAACGCTCAATATCTATGCTTGCCCGTCGAAGACGTTCCCATCCTAAATGCCGAGTGCATTTGTTCCGGGGAACACAACAGAATGACCCACTCTCGACGAACACGTCTCGGACCAACGGAAATCCGCAAACCGTGTCGGGTGGTAGTTTGGGCTCTTTGAAGTGTTCACACACCACGCGTAATCTCTTACAGTAAGCCTTTGCTTGGGTATCGTAGGCGTCACAGAACAGTGGAGTTCCAACCACTTGTTCTTTCTGGTTGGCACAAAAGACTGTGTTACCTTCCATCTATAAAAAGTGCAGAAGTAAAGGAATGGTGCTTAGTCGAATTTATCCTATCATATTAGATAAACTGGGACAAAAAAATATCGCCTCCCAAACCACCAGCCCGAATGAGGCAATCCGGATGTGCAACCTAATTGGAATTGGCAGAGAATGCGAAAAGATTGGTAAGACATTGGATTGTACGCGCAGTCGGATTCGTAGTACCTCATGGCAGAAAGACCCTGATATAATGAGGATGTTGTCATAAAATGTGGGAAGAACGGATACCTGCCCTTCGGTCAAGGCAAAAGACCGCATTCCTCAGGTGAGTGAATACCTGCGAGTTTTGAAGGTTATGTGATTTGCTGCACAGAGAGATTTTAGTGAATTCGATTTTCAGGCAAATGATTCGCTCAACAATGCTAAGATGCAGTTATATGCCAAGCCATTCTAATGATACTTTGTTCGGTCAGGTCCAGCTATCCTGTTCTGTGACCACGCTCAACACCAGATACTCTTACTGAAAATGGGGTATTTGCACACGGAAGGCTTCCAGTGAGTTAGTTTCAAACCAGTTGGTGAACCGGGTGTTGTAAATTACAGAGATAGTCCATCCGTAAGAATACGTCCAAATTATTCATGGATTTAAGGTTACTATTCGGAACGCCTGATGACAAGACAGACAAACTCGTTCACGAGGCCCGAAGAGTGCTGTTATCCATGCCCCAATCGGAGTGACAGAAACAGAGAGGTGGTCAACCCTTGACCTGGCAGAAGGGTATGAAAGGGAAAAGTCTGGGTGCTGTCGGTGCGACCATGTGATAAGGCTTTCAAATAACCACAGCTTTATGGCAGCGCAATATCAGTGTCAAACACTAATTTCGTGTTGTCGATGATGATGATGAGGCCTAAAAACCTTTCTTGAATGGAAAATGGTGAAATACGTGAACAGCTATTGCTTCACCATGCCTCCGTATACTGCGATGCTGCAACTTTGGGTAGCAGAACATTTAACACCAACAGGACACGAACTTCGGGGAATCGATCATCTGGGATTGTTGGCGGACGCTCATTCACTGAACGGCCTACGAAGGTCACTGAACAATTAACAGATTATGTTAAAACGGTTTAACAATGTATTAACGCTGGGCTGCTGCGTAGCATATTTCCTCACCTGAGTCCTGTTGTCACTTCTGATTCGTCAATTTTTGGACGAGTGGGTTCAGGTTGCCAACTTGCTGGTACTATACTTGGCGATAGACCGAGTGTGGCTGCACATGAGCAAGCTATACCTGTCACCAATACACGTCCCACAAAGGAGTGGGAACGATCATGCTCTTCGCATGGTTATATGCGACCATTTTGAAGCATTGGTGGTTAGGATTTAGCCAACAACATCCGGATAGTCGACAGCGTTCGCCAACAAAACTGCACGTGGCTACCCACACACCGGTACGTACATGGAAAAGATTGCACATTAATACGGATATTAGACCGTGTGTCCTACAAAACATGTTCACTAAATAACTGATACGAATTCGTCACGTTAGGTAAAGTGTACTTCTGAGTTGTGGTCCTTAAGAGCCATCCCCTTTCTCCTCAGTATTTCAGCACACTCAACAAAAAATCTTCCACTCCAAAACGCGGATTACTCACCCCATCATACATGGTTTTACATCTGACTTTCACAGTAAATTTCAGGAACTCAAGGACGGTGACTCACAACGGGTTCTCGAGACACGTATTGATAACAGTTCCATCTACTTGAAGCATCACACTTCTTGCTTAGCTCACAAATACCACACCACTGGTAGTGCAACGTTAGCAAGTAGCCGAGAGGTCTACATGAATATGTACTTCGTACGGATGAAACAATCGATGCACCTGGAGGATAGGATGCGGTTTAGCCCAGCTGGCTTGTTCGCCGTGGGATTTTTTTGGTGCACAGCTGGTAAACAACCTTAAAGAAGCACGGGGGAGCGATCAGGCATTGATCAAGCCTTCGGGTAAGGTGTTTGTGTCTCAACTCTGAGCTATCTCGGGGACTTGCGAATGATGTCTGTGTGGTCACCACGCCATCATCGATGTAATATATACCTCCTCCATGCCAAGAAACCACAGCACAATGAAACGTTTAAGACGACCCACCAGGAACCCTTGCATACTGGCAAAAGGAGGATGACTCGATGTCAAGTTGAGGTGCTCAAACTTTGGGAAGAAAACCGATGAATTGCAAACCTCAATAACACCTTAACATCGAGTCACCTTTTGGCTTCAATCAACATAGCTCAGCTGAAGAACATTGTGTTGATGTCTTTTTAAAATGTTCGGAACGTTTTAATGAAAATAACATGAAAATAACATGGATCTGAAATTCCGCATACGAGCGCTGTATTAAAGTCAGTCTACAACCTCAAATTTTGTTTGTATACGTCACCAGTGCCTTGAAACTTGGTGCTCATCTGATGCAAAGCAAATTTACTGGGTACAGATGACAACCCATCTATCGTAGTAAGATGTCGTAAGGAACCGAAGCCCGCTAGTGTCCGTGTTCGTTGGATTTCCCAGGTCGAACAAACCAAAGGCCCCACTGACGGTCCCCCAAGGATTTCATTTAACCGAGGCATGCGGATATGTCGTCTTCAGATTTAAGAACATGGATAAACTAATCTCAGTTGTCTTGTGAAGAAGTGACCTTTATGATACCCCAAGTATATTATTCGCTGGTAATTTTTGAAGTCTTTCATATCGACGATGAATCATCGGACCGGTGGTCTGCCTGTATTCAGCAGTCTGGTGCAAATGCCTTTTGCATTGGCTATTGTGCATGATTCAGTTGCGTGGCAAGATACTGAACTCACCTTCTGAAAGCACTTCTCCATATGCCGTAGGGCATGCCGCATGCTAACCTCACTAGCACAGGTAACGCAAACTACCGGTTCCATTTGTTCTGCCTGGTCTGCTTCATTGGTGGCTTCTGCAAGCTGAAAATAAAACGGTCCAGTTAAGATGGTGATAATCTCGGGGTAGTCGCACGGAGTACATTCAGGCACTCAAGACTACTAAGTCCGTCTGGGTCGACGTGGTGTGGACCAGTTATGGCCTATGTTCCTTAGTACGGCACAGTTCTCCACTTCAACAAGGGAAAGCTGGCGGTTTGCACAATTTCAGTGTCAATGTTGGTGGTGAGTTTGCAGTCGACAATTAAGCAAAATTTTTATCGGTTTCATCCTATCTTAGATACTTGGTTGTGTGATACCAAAAAAACGGAAACTTATTCTGCACTCCTGTGTTGTTCTGAAAGACAATATGAGATGCCTCTAAGCAGTACTCAGAATGTTTGGTGGATGTTTACGCAGTGAAGGCAAATGCGTCAGATAGTAGCTTCAGTCCTTTGGGCAAACTAGCGATAGAGGTCAATCATTCTAGGAAAGAGTATCGAACGGATAAGTGGGCTTTTGAACTGGGGCACAAAATGACGACAGAGCACAAAAATGGGATGGTCTATTTCGAGTACGAGGAAAACTACTGCTGGAGTTCTGCATGCCGGCTTCCAACAATCTGTAACAGGCCATTTCACTGCTGACTGTTCGAAAAAAAGAAACAAAGGAAGCCGGAACGACTGCATCATCTGTATGAAATGTGCAATAGCACTAAAACTAATTCCTGTAGGATATGTATAATCTACTCATAAATTTGAAATTTCGCCGACTGAAATCTCACCAGATCTGGTTTGCGTTCCCGAGCACATGCGATCAGGTTTGTCAAGTGCTGATGGTCCATCTCCAACTGAACCAGCTTATCGTGAACCGCGCTCTTCTCAATTTGTATCTCCTCAAGACGAGCTCTGTCGAGCCGTGTGGCTAAATAATCCACTTCGGGTAGTTTCTGGCTCTCTGTTTCATTGGTTTCTGGATCTCCTGACTTCATTCGCTGAAGCCGTTCGGGAAGAAGCACTTCCAGTCGCCTTGAAAAGCAAAACAAATAAGTGTTCGAAACCAGTAACCTCGTCGTTGTAACTGAGTGCATCATTTTTGTGTTCAGATGCCTAGCGAATTCGTGAAATAACAGCAGGACCGTTTTATGCAATTTAGAAAGGTGGGAGACATTGGAAGAGAGTGAAGAATGATTGGCTAAGGCAAAGGTGGGATGTTGTGATACCACGTTCACTTCATTCTAACAATTTCAGCTAAAGCTACCGTTTCATGTAAAAAAGCGACCAGACCACGATGAGCCCAACCAGAAAGTAATTCATTTTTAGCGGGACTTATCAGCTGTTGGCTATTGTAGGCCTTGATATTGGCTGAAAATAAATCTTTCTAAATGAATTGACCAATAGGAACAAGGATAGTTACATTCAACTTATAACAATACAAGCCCGAGGGGTGGTTCATCTGTTTTTTTACAAACAGCTTCCCAAACGCCGAACGTCCTTTCGACACTAGTTGAAACCAGTTGCCGACTAATCTGTAGCACTAAGTTGGTATTTTTAGGCAAGGACACCTGTCCGTGGTGCACAGAGCCTTTACAAAAAGCCTAGAGGGAGACTTAAACGCACGAGTCGGGTGTTTCTCATTAGAGTTTCCATTTTGTCCTAAACCAGGTCACCCTAAACCATACAAATAAGTCCTGATGTTAGTTGTAAGATATGCCGTTTGAAACAAAAGTGTGTCCGGGTACGATTTCTACTATAAATCAGAATGGAAGTGTCTCCATGTAAAGTTACGATGGTAAGGGGGGTTGCAAGCATAGTGGTCGCAACCTCGCGTATTCCTTGTGAAGTTTTCTTTTCGAACAATTTGCTACCGTACGTCTAATGGAAACACGCTAAATTCGTACGTACAGCTTATGATGGTGAGCCTCCCTGTTCGGACAGCCGATCAGGTGCCGCTCGCCTCTATTTAGCTATACCGCATAGATGGAGCAGAATTAGTAAGCAGTTAAGAGCAGTACCTACATTGGTTAGGCCCTGTGTCGGGCGACAATGGGATACAATCAACATTGTTGGCTAGTTCTCTGGTCATTTCGTAAACCACGATCCAGTACGCCATAGAATCGGTTACACACAGTGTCTTCCCTATTGAGCCAATAAGCTCGACCTGAATTCGCCCACTGTGCGTGTTCCAGCGTGACACAGTCAATCTCAAATAGACTTTGATTACGATTTGAAGTAAACTCTGATTTGGGTTGTCGGACAATCCATTGTGTACAAAAACTGTGGGAGCTACAGTAAACATGAAGGCAGATGCGGCATCAAACAGACCGTTAATCTTAGCACATATTTATAGGCACATTTGTAGGTCTCGCACGTTCACAGACGTTCTCTCCATTTAGACAACAGAATTTTAAAAAAACTTAGAAGCATACATAGGTTGCCTCAAGAATCACATGCCACCAAAAAGTAGTCCTCCATCGGAAGGGATCTCTGCTCGGCTTAGTTAACACAACTCCAGTACGGCCACTGGACTTTTTGGTATGTGAGATGCAAAGGATTCCAGAAAGCTAGAAGGCTGATTACATTTCCATAGCATCACGAATGTGGGTATAGTCCTTAAGCATTGTAGGAAGTAACAGGCTACATTTTTGCTTTGTCCACCTATCTGCTTTTATCGGACTTTTGGAGAAACTTGGTCAGTTGGCTTATTTTGTAGTTGTTCCTAGGAGGTATGGTAACATCGATGAAACCTGACGGAAAATAGTAGGACATGTGCAAGTTCATCCCAATAGGTTGCAATGATGGCGGGTAATGTGACGGTTTTGTAAGGATACATTCTCCCAAAGTGGCGGTGGGTCTGGGTCAGTTTTACCGTGGCTGGTTATAAAGGACCAAAAGAACAGTGGTGTTGAGATTCTCCCAGGTAATCACGCCCTAGATTTGGAATAAGCAGATGGTGTTGTGTTGCTCGCGGGTTGAACATGACGTCCACCTAATTGAGTGTCTGGCTAGCTACCAGAGTCTGCCGACTCAGTCCCCTTCCTAGGTGGGGTTCGAAGGATAGAGATTATTGCTGGCTAAAGGAATTGAAAAGTGCAGCACGAAACCGATCCACTAGCGTGGTTGTTCTGTTTCTGTTGTTGCGAAGTACAAAAAAGAATAATAGGTGAGCTTGATAAAATGTGGCGTAGTTGAGCAAGTAAAATACCGTTTGACTTTGGATATTTACGTAAACTGTTTGTGTTTTCTGGACCATGATCTATTTGGTACCAAGTCTGTTGTCAGGTTATTGTAATTACGTGCATTGGCCATGCCCCCAAACAAAGGCTCATTCAGGTGGAACGGTCTGACTGATCTCAGTTAGGGGGAGAGTGGTCTGCTCCGGGAAGGAATGCCCTCTACCAACCGTAAGATTAAGTAAGGATGTAAAAAGCCCAAATTCTGATGATAATAATACAATGGCACAATGTGGCACACAATGGCACACCTCAGAAACTCCGCCAATGTCACCCATTGAAACTATCACCACGATAGATGTCAAGAACATTCCGTTAAACAGCCAAATGGGATGGCGCCCAGGTACTCTCGCATGAGTCCCAAACGGCGCACAATGAGACCGTAAATATTCACATGTCCAATGGACGGTCCGTTCAAGGAGACAAATCTAGTAGAGGCTGTCTAAAGTTGTGTTAGGTTGACACAAACATGTTATCGTTTCAGAAGGGCCTGGTACACAACCGGTAGTTTTAAACTGGATAACCTTTCGCTCCCACCACCAAAGCATCATCAGACCAAGCGTGCAGGTCACCAAGTTGGTCAGGTCTTAAGGCATACGGAGAACCAATGAGTGGGACCTCTTCAAATTACCATACAAGATCAGTATTGAATGTTAGAGTCTTGTTGGTTATTGTGGTTGCCTAAATCTTACGGTTGATGGGTCGAGGGATTCTAAACTATTTTTGATCGGGTTTGGTTCAAGGTGCTTCAAATGATTATTCACCTTGGGCTCCACTGGTAAATTTTGTGGGCATGTGTGAGCTTGTAAGTGGGGGGAGAGTGGTTGCCTAATCTTACGGTTGATGGGTCGAGGGATTCTAAACTATTTTTGATCGGGTTTGGTTCAAGGTGCTTCAAATGATTATTCACCTTGGGCTCCACTGGTAAATTTTGTGGGCATGTGTGAGCTTGTAAGTGGGGGGAGAGGCGACAAGATTAAATCCACTTCACATCAGAGCTACTTTTGTTGATGACTCCTCTTTCTGATAACACTACAAGGTGTTGTGTTATGTTTGATGGATGACGAAGACACTGATGTGCATGGTTAGACAGTATCAAATGGTCTTCTAGTTCGAGGTAATCGCGACCTCCAGTGGCTCAATTTATGGTTATGCCCACCTTTGGGAGGACCACTGTGAGAAGTAATCAGCCATCAAAAGAAACCATTTTGTCTAGATAATGAAACACATTTCAGTACCTAATTTGCATTACTTTTTCGGTCAGACCATCAAGAAGGGACGAATGTAAAATTTTCACTCCGTAAAAGATGACTTCCGATCGGTCTTTTCAGGAAATTCTCTTCTCTCTCGCCGCAGGGACTCATCAAAGGTGACTTATTTCTGATACCTGGTCTTTTCTAGGAAGGATCGTTCGATGAACTCACAAGGGTCCAGTCACAAGTGGACTTATTGGGAAGGTTGTCTTTATAGAGAGAAATACTGTATTAGTTGTGTGCTCTAAGGATGAAACCATGTTACAAAACTCTCAAGGATTTAGGGGAACACTTTTGTCTTCACACCACTGTTCAGAAACCCAGTGGGTGCAAAAATACATGACAATACCGTACATTCATTGTGTAACCTAGGCCATTTTGGGATTGTTGTGCGCCATTGAGAAAATTAGGTGATCTTTGTTGGGTGGTAACCCTTTAAAAAATAGCACTTTCAAGCCCAATCTCATGAAATACTCTCCATTCGGAGGGGGGAGTCTAACTTACTGTATATTTCCTAGTAAGGTTAGATTTAATCAACTAGCGGCGAGGTCACGAAAACACCGATTTGAGTTGTGCCTACAACTTTAGGGTAGACGTCACTTGCCGTACGCATCGGTGTTATCACTCAAGACGCTGTTCACATGTATCTTCGCTTATTGCCACGGATTTTCGGATTGTAGTTCTTACGTGTGCGTAAACAAACCGTTTATTTTCAACGATTTGTGCTGTTATGCATGAGTGATCACTTGCCAGCAAGCGTTCTGGTGGACAGAGCCATGCTCCTCGTGGTAGGGTTAGTTTACTCTCCAAGGGTAAGATAAGATGAGATCCTCATGGTTGCACAGTACCCCAAATATGGTGGAAACTAGTGGTAGTAAAACCAAATAAGCGATATATCTTAATCGGGAAAAACACGAAACACGAACTTCTCACTCCGGTCTTTGTTGCGGAGGTGTGTTGCTCCTTGGGGGCACTTAGAGTGATCTCGCTAGGGTGGTTTCTAAAAAAGGTGTTGATCTTATACCAAGTCTCATAGGACTGGAATACTCTTAAAGTCGCTCTTGAGGTGCCTGCTGTGAGGGGGGGGCTAGTGTTTGGAACTAAGTGCTAAACCTCCGATCGATATCGGGTAGTCTTGGTCTTCTCGGCAGATACAATTCTGTGAAGAGGTCATCAGAAACTTCATTTCCGTGTCACAGGGACAAACCCAACGAAGTAATGACTACCTGTCGTGTCTAGGCTTGTTTCGGGTGAGTACGATGAGGTGAATGTCGAAGACGCGACCACACAACGTAGGCTTTGTTTCGGGGTGTTGCTGCACGGAGGTAGTGTTCCTGGCCTGATCACTTGGGGTTTGTTGGTGCGGAGAATTTATGATGTGAAAATACTGATCCGAAAAATTTTTTGCCTTCGGAACGTAGGTTTGTTGGAAGGGGGACTATTCTATGCCTAATGTAGAAAAAAACTGGAAACTAAGAAAATCCCTTGTTTCGAAGTTTTTCAGAGGCGGCAGATTTCTTACACAAGAGTACTTTGCTAAAAACGAGAGTAAGGCTTATGTATCTGTTCACAAGGAGCTTGAAGAAACAGCTGATTTCGAGTTGGAGCAGCGAGACAGTATCCCAGAAGCCAGATAGCTTGAGATTTTCTGAAGGATGCAATCAGCTAATTCTCTGAACTTTAGATGTAAATGTGCAAGCTGACCCATGACTTTCACTTTCCTTGGTGGTCAAGCTTTGACTTTTGGAACCCTTCGCAAGGCCTCCGACGAACAGCTGACCACAAAAAACGAAGTCGCATTCGACCTCGGACGGCATTTAATCTCAATAACTTCCCACCTACCAGCTACTCTCTACAAAACAGACGGGGTGTTCCATCCGCATCTTTTCTTACAATGTCAGACAGCCATATTCTTACACCAAGAAAAATGACCACCACATCGAAAAGGCCCTCATTCTTGGAAAACATGACTGAACTTTACAGATTGTAGATCTCCCGCCATGATTTCACTACGTAGTGGAAAAAAACGTACAAAAGTAGTGATCATGAATGGCATCATGCCCCGGACACATTGTGACATAAAAATAACGATCAAAAGGCAGCAAAGACTGTACGAAAGCTTCATACCGAAATGCAAGTCGTATACCGCATTCTTCTGAACAATATTTCGTGTCAGGTCGAGCGGCGGTTCGAGTACACCCAGGCCCAAAACACTGACGCGGTTCGGCCAGCTCACATGGCAGCGGACATCTATTCGGCGAATTCGGTGCGTTCCGACGAGTGCCTCGCCGAGAGCCGGAAGAGGTCTGCATATTATCGCGGACAGAGGATTTGACCCGATTTTGAGATCTGATATGTTGCGATCCACTTCGACCGGAACGCGGTGGGCCGCAATTGAATTGGGTCTGTTGCGAAGGTCTGGGTGAACTAAGACTCGGTTTGTGGCGAACACGTTGCTGATGATGGCAAGACTTGCCAGAAGCTGCCGTCTTCAACGATGAATGAGAATGACGCTGCATGCCTGATCGTTGTATGCGCTGCCAGGATAGATACGGCAGAGCGTAAAGGAGATAGTAGTAGTAGTAGTAGTACGTTTTATATCACTGTAAGGTTGAAACGAAGGTCTCAGTTAAACTGCACTCACCACCATGCAAGATCTTATCTATTTAAAGACCATGTCCTGATAAGGACCCGTTCTTAGCTCTCCAACTGCTACAGTATTACTACAGTTGGGTTGGAAACACTCCCAGAGACTGCTTTCAAACAACAACCGCCCGTCCATGCGTCACGTTCCTTTCTTTCAGCCAAACAGATCCCTGCATGTGTCAACAAGCTAAGTTCGTAGCAAAACCTCTTCATTCTTCCAAAAACGTTACTACACTGGTGACTACTCCGTATTCACCAACCATTTCCCCACGTTTCCATATCTATACGGAGCCCAGGTACGCGACCGTTTTATAAAGCATTATTTTCAAGGTGTATGTTGAGTCATCTCACCGTCTCTCTCAACCACCTAACGGATGCTTGTGATAACATAAATGACGATGACGGCGAAACTTCCAGTTTCTGAGTGACGATCTTTTGCTCGGGAGAGTTTGTGATTGGTTACATGGCTCCCAGCGGTTTGTCGCCAGCTTTATGAATCGGCTCCGACATTTAAGCACTTAACTTGTTTGACACATTGTAAACTGTTTTATACAAACCTTTATGGGTGCAAAGTGAGCAGACACAAACAGTAAGATTACCGGAGCCTCGATGGTTGATGGGAGCCGCACGTTAACGAACCGCGAAGCGACATGGTGAGGTGGCCTTCCCCAAATGCGAGAGCTGTCAACGGCTGATAGAATAACAATCCGACTGCTGGCCCCCCTTGCTGTGTGTCCACAAATTGTACAAACTAAACGTCTGTCATGACGACTAGTGTGTAAATCTTGAAAGCAGTCGACTGTCTTCGCCAACTCACAAACTCTCAAAATTAGACCAGTGGTGGAGGCGGTGTGGAAAACTATTTGTCCTGAAATTTCCAGTTTTGTGATTGGGCCTGTTTGTTACATGTTAGTTTTTCAAAAGTAAGCATGACTAGAGGATAAACAAGTTTTGTTCGAGTACACAAACTTGTATAAACTCTCACGGTCTTGCTGCTCTGCTGGTGGAATCCAAGCATAAGCATATAGCTATCCGGTGTGACACTAACAATTGTGTCCAGCATTGATGGCAATAATTCGACAGCTTGTGATGAAAGCCATGGATTTGTTTCACTGAAAATATAAGGAGACAAAACAGTTTTCCAAGCCAAACTCATCAATCCCAATTTGTGCCTTAGGTTCAACACTTGATATTTACACATAACATAAGCCAGTGAAAACTACGAGCAGGTAGACCATCGTAGCAATACGAGACCCGGTGGCTGATTGGGTGACCTCGTTCGCTGTTAAGACCAAGGCCCACATCGGCCATCAAATAAATACGACTGAGGAGTCTCAAGTTGCCCACATAGCACCCCCTAGGCTAATACAAGGTCCACATGGTCGCACCTACCGAGGCAATCGCCATCATGCCACCACTCTTTGTCGGCAGAAACGATACATAGAGGGGCTGGACAAGCACAGAGACAGGCAGATGATGAAAGACACTGACAATAAGACAAGGTGATTAGTCGAGTAATTGAATTGCATTACCATAGCCTTCAATGGTTATTGCTTTACGTTATATTCAAATGTTAATTTTGTTATCCAAACCAATGATAGCGGTTTTGACACGACAGACTTATTCTTGTGAAGCAGCTTCGTCGAATTTCATCTGTCTCAGAATGAAAATTCTAACGAGTGAATATCGTGGAGGCGGATAGAAAAGGCGAGTCTGGTGAGACCTGTTGAAAACTAGCAACTGTAGAGGACTCGCTCCATTGACGAGATGCCATTTGTTCTGTTTTTCGGCCGAATTTCTACAATTCCGATTCAATCGGCTAAAACTTAAGGGCTCGCGAAATTTTTGCCAAATGGCGGGTGCTATGTTGATGGTAGTGGAATATTCGGGGATTTTCCGCAGTATCACGCGAAAGGTGATGGCTTTGAAAAAGTTTTGGCAAAGATCAATAAAATTGTGATAAGTGCGTAGCGACGAAACTATTTTTATTAGTTTCTGGGACCATTATGGACACAGCACAAAACGAAGTAAATCGATAATTCGGTTATCAATAAAACCCGTGATCACGCTCAGATAAAAAACCGCTCCGTATTTTCCAGAGGGTAGTCTGTGTACCGAGGGTGAATGTGTCTGTGTCTAGAGCAAGTAATAAAGGCAAAAGAACGCACGTTTAGCGTAAACTTCAATGAGCAACTTATATGTAATGCCGATAGTTCACAGTTGAGACATTATATCCTCTCTCACTCGAAAGCTGTTGGTCTTCGCCGCAAAACAAGCGCTACAAACAAAAAGACCGTATACAGTGAATTTTACACGGTGCATTTTTCAAGCATCGGAGACTCTCCTTGTGCTCCTTCTAAAGGTGTAGTGTTTTCATAAGAGAAGACAGCCGTCAAGGGAACAATTCGGAAAGTACTGACTTCCTCTTACCATAATCTCCTGGAGAAAACAAATCCCTCCAAACTGATCAGGAAACATCCTGGTCCCCCAACTAGCATACTTAATCCAATGACCAAGCAACACTTTGGATAGGAACTCGCATTGGCCCAGTCGTCAGAGGATGGATAGCAGGAGAATTGCCCATCTACCATAGCATCATATCATCAGGCACTTCGGACTGGATATAGATCGGTAAATGTAAGGACCACCATTCATCTGGACGTGAGGCAGAACTTAGACGATGGAGATAGCATACAGGAGGAAGCTGTGCATGATAACCCAATATTGGAGTTCAAAATCAACACTCTCGTTTCCGCCGTCACATTGGAGTACATTAACTGTCTTGTAGTTCTTAATCAGGTGTAGCAATGTAGTGGTAGTAGTGTCATTCGGGCCTAAAGACACGACCGTTCGGCGTGTTCACTACGCTGCCAATCAGCTGTGGCACATTTTCAGTGCCTGGCTGCCATGCCACCAGGAAGCACTACGTTGCATCAGTATGTATCAATCAAGTAAATACGATTGTATTGAATATCTGGAGTATCTCCCCCACTCAAACGGGATGCACGTCAGATGCCCGAAAATCGGCTTGGGCAGTCTGATACAGCAGAAATTTCACCCTCCTGGTATCAAAAACGTATAGTACGGTACTTGGTGTAACCCCCCTGTAAAAACCCATTGGTGAAGCGTCTTGGCGCCCCCAAAGGGTGCGTTCTCCAAAGGGAATGGTATTGCGGTGGGAAGCCGGCCATTGACATGTTTTGCTAAATTTCGTATCTGGCAGGACTTACTTTCCTATCGTAATCGGAGGCGACCCAGTCCTCATCGTCAGCGTCATCTTCATCTCCCGCTTCATCCATGCGTTCTTCGTCCTCCATTTCATCCTCTTCATCGCCACTATGCGCGTTGCGCGTGGAGGTTGCTGACTGCCAAGCATAGTCCGCTTTCACTCTTTTCACCGCTTCAACCGGCTGCACGTCCGATGACCCACTGGTGTCTGAAGCAAGGTCATCCAACCAGGCATCAGAATTTGCGTTCCTCCGCGAAGAATCGGTAATAAGCGACATTGGGAGAGATGTTCAAGCCATTATGGGCGTAGTTATGGAAGAAGTGTCGGTTAACTGTTAATTACTGGCTGGAACGAAACAGTTTTGGGCATAAATGCGCAGACTTAACAAGGGCATAGTATACTCTGCAAAATGCACTGAATTTAGCATGAGGACGATTACGCGATCCAAGCAAACTACGTACTCCACCTTATCTTAGAAAGGATGCTTTTTGTTGAGTCAACTCCAGTGATGTCACCGATCACTGCAACGCACAATCGATGGTTAGAGACGAGGTTATTACAAACACCAACATACTTCTCCACTTTCACGGGGATTTCTAGACTCATGATCGGAGGGGTTTTATGCTGTTGGGCCGTGTCTTTCTTCTCTGTTTGCTATGCCAACTGGAGCGCGAGGAAACGTGTGGTCGCGTAAGTCTGTTTATTTTTTGGATCACGTGGTCAAACTATTGTAGCTGAGGTCGTTAGGTGATCAACCGTCACTTTCTGGTGTCGTGGAAACATACTTGAACTCACTCAGACCAGGAACCCAATTTTGGCGGCGCATAATTGTCTTGGATTCGCAACCGCTAAAGCCTTCTTACAAAGACCGTGCTTCTCATATTTGAAGTTGCACAGGGCGTGTCCATAGGTATGGGTCTTAACTCACAGATCCCAGAGCTGGATGTAGGCGGAATTGACAAAACAGTATCCTCAAATCCCGGTCCGCTTGAAGATGAACTTGAATGCTTACTCAAATGAGTTCGCTGGCTCGGCTATTTCACCACTAATGGGATAGTGCTTAACTTCTGTCAGACTTAATTCAAAACTTTGTTCGGCGTTTTACTGTTCAGCGAGGTGCAGTAGCTGCTGAATCTTAGTGACACCAATGACTACAACCACGATATCATTAGCCCCCTCTAGGTCACAGATAAATGCAATCGGGATGAGTTGGATTACAGGGTATTCACCCGATTTCCGTACCATCCCATCAGCCGCATAAGCCCGGAAATGGGATGACATTGTTGTGTACCATTGGCCATCAACAGCTACTTCGAATCCTAACGGTACATAAGGACTCGCAAACTTGTACAGATGTAATATACTATGATCAACCTGGGAAACTTTGGATGGTGGTTCGTCCGACAGTTCCGAAACGTACAGAATCACAACCATCAAGCTGAACAGTGTTACTATGCTGTAGATGATGATGATCAACTGAATCCATGTAAGCACGAAGCAAACGGCCCTTTCACCTTCTGAGATGAGTCGACATCTAACCGGTTGGGTTGATTCGGAGTATGCAAATCTTAGCGTAAGTCTGAGCGAGAGTCACGCGTTGTCACCGTCGGCACCACAGAGGTCGCACCGGTAACATCTTTTTTAACTAATTGCAACCCTGATCCAGAATCTTAGAGTCCGAACGAGCGACCGCAAAAACTAGGGGGAACCTCGCAGTACTGAAAGTGCACCTTTGACCTTGAATCCAGGCTGTCCAATCGGCTCCGGGCGATTGGATCCAGTTGCATAACCACTGACATAACCGGACACACGGGCATCACCAGCTGTTGCTGATCGACTGACCGAGCGTCCAATCGGTAGCCAGGTTTTCTGGCCCAGATGCTTGAAAATTCCCTACTGCAACTCTGCGTGAGCTTGAGGGTCTCGCTAAGTTTTGGTTATTCTGGTAATTTTTCCAGTAACCTGAACTTCATAACCACCTCCCACTGTGGCCGTCTAACGTTAAGATTTGAATGCGGGTCATATTGAAGTGGCTCCACCTGTTTTCTGACGTGATTGCCCACCGTCCGCGTTGGAGCAAATAATCTGTAATGGGAGGTAGAGGTGCGGCAGTGGCTGCTGGGGCTAGCCCTGGAAGGTCGAGAATTTCAAGAAAAAATTGAAGTTTAATGGCTGCTCGTCTGTTTTGGGACCGGGTACCCGGTCAACCGCAGCTAACTGACATGTCGCCCTCATATCGGCGATTCCGTCCGGATGCATTAGATTCCCTGACCGATCTCCTACCTAAAGCCATCACCTTGTCGTCGTAGTCTGGCTTCCGTGCTGTAATTATCCTGCGGTATATACTGTATGGAACTCAGTTCCTAAAAATTCACCCATGTGGAGCCGCCCGACAAGGAACAGCGCGTCCCTGTACTGCGACGAATAGTGTTACGAAGGACAGGAGGTGAAGTCGTACTGTCCAGTGGGGTAGGAATCCGAAAGCAGCACGGTGCTTCCCCCAGGCGACCAGCATATCCATATTCAACGAAGCAGCGACACTACCCTCCCCCAAGGAAGGATGGGTTATAATTTTTCGGCCCCGAGAGCCGTACACTGGAAACGCCCAACAATTGGCCGTGACCAACAGGCGCATTATTCAATACCTCCTAAATTCTCTCAGAACCAACGAGTTTGGCACTGATCAAAGGGCCCTTGCTGTGTGCACCCGCACTAATAGTGAGAAAGTAATGCTCCACTCCCTTCCTCCACCGTGCAGGTCGGCTTTCCGAAACTAAGTGAGTCAGACTATTGAGGTGTTGACTCTGGGGATGGTCCTCAATGAAGCCTAACAACGCTGCTCCTCGATTCAGATGTTGAGTCAGAGGCTAGGGGCAGGGTCCCCGAAAGAAACCTGACATTCTCTTACTACCTCGTGATTCGGACTTTTGAGGCTTTTGGTTCAAGATTAGGTACTTCACCCAAATCCCTTCTTCCATTCAAGCAACCTGGAAATATCATTCATCCTTACGGCCCTCCGCTTACTGGCCTTCCCCGTGCACACCATCTCTACCCACTCAACGATGCGGTACGATCAGCCATCCTGCCAATGCTCTAGCCAGTGTTACGAATCCTCACCGCCGTCCAGGAAAGGAAACCAAAATGATAACGTACTTACTTCAAAAGATGTGGTACACGTCACAGCTTTAAATGTTCGCAGTAGATGTCAAATCGGACAACAGACATCTCTTGCTGAACGAGTGATTTCCTTATCTGTTGGTGTATGTTGTGCCTCCGAAACAAGCACACAAGTCCCCACTTCGGTCGTGCACCTGAAACCTCATCGAACCACTTAGACGCCAGCAACCGCAAACGGTAGTGAACTCAATTAAGGCATATAACGGAGAGCGTCAATTTTAGGTCATCGTCCCCTCTGGTTTACGCACCTTGACTCTGATGATGCCATTGTGCAAGCCCGGTTGCCACTTCGCTTTCCATCAACAAGACTCTACTCTGCCAAAGCAGAGTAGACGCAGCCATCGGCTACGACGAGTTTTAGCCGCCGTGAATCCCCGGACTTATCTGATTACAAAAATCCTTGAAAGGTGCGCTCATTCGGATGAAAAAGACTGCTTTGAGGCTGAATGCAAAAGAGTGAAAGAGGTGAGGTTGGAAATGTTTGTCCAAGCCATCCGTCTGAGATGAATGGACAGCGGATTTTGTCTAGATCGGGGGTTTTTTGCTGCCAAAGGCCCATACCAGCCGTGTTGGCGCACGCTGATCCCTCAACCACCGGATAACCAGGGGCTTGAAGAGTGACAGTGAACGCTGGTAGATTTTGAAAGCCCAGGAGATGGAGTGGAATTTCATTGAGTCTATTTCCTGCCGATTGGATCAACTTGTTAAAAGAAGACAAGTAACAGCGAACCTATAATTCACCCGGAACGGTAATCCATTCTCTCAGTCGTTGTCTTTAGCGAGGGGCTGAGAACCTCATAGAGCATTCCAGCTGGTCCTTTTCAGCACAACGGCTGGAAGGGCCCGGGAGCCTAAATGGAACATCGAAACCAGTCCGTCGCCACCAATGGAAATCAGAGGATATTGCAGTTCTCATTGTACGACCTAATTTTTCGGCGTAGGCGATGGAATCAAGAACGAAGTGCGAGTCGGGCGTGCTTTTATACCTTATTTTATTTCGTGTGACGTAAGCAGTGTCCGCTCTGAATGTCTACAAGTAACAGCCGCTTGTTTCTTTCAAAATGATCCCCATTTCGGCGAATTCGTATATAGCGAACTAACATCGGACCTTAGAATAATATCATCCGGCTACACGGCAACACCCGCTACGCTGCTGGCAAAATCGGATCAGTACCAGGAGTATCGGGTTAAGCGGGAGGTCGAGCTCCAGCGGACTCTCTTAGAGGCAGGTAGCAAAACTGGGTTAGCTAAAATCGAGCTAGAGGCCGAAGAGGACTCACAAGTTTAAGTCTGGGAACCAGTGGCCTCAAATAAACGATCGGCGGGGTACGTGAAACAATGTCAGACAGATGAAAGACCACTGAGATATGCTGATAATATCAGAGGGCCAAAACCGGCCACTTCCGTCACTCCAGTGTCAGCCACTATGGAACTACCAAAGGTGGAACTGTCATACTTTGATGGTAATCCGTGTCATTACTGGAGGTTCACCCGCCAATTTGAGTTATACATTGAGAGCAAGGTGCAGGACGCCGGTCAGAGGCTCCTTTATCTGATCCACTACTGTCAAGGCGACGCAAAGGCGGCCACTGAAGAATGTGTGATGCTCCCGCCGGAAGTAGCGTACTCCAGGGCGCGGGAGATTCTACGCAATCTCTTTGGTCAGCCTCATATTATCGCTCGCTGTCTACTAGAAAGCCTGTTTCGTTTTGCACGACAGACCACTGGAGCAGCCAAGTCTTTGTCGGACTTGTGTATAAAAATGCGCAGTTGCGAAATTGCGCTGACGCAAATGTGTTACGTTTCAGACTTGCACTCACTAGCGGTTGTAGAGAGAATTGTGCGTTCTCTTCCTTCGCCACTGCAGCACAAATGGGCTGAGGTGGCAGATAAGATATCCGTGAGTGGCCGGGATCCAACCTTCACAGACTTGACGGAGTTTGTGAACACGCGCTCCCGAGATGCAAGGAGTCGGTTCGGGCAGCTGGTTGGAGAGGGGGACGTAAGACGCCCCCCTGTAACGCCGACTTCCACCAACCGAACCCCTAGACGGGATAGTTATGCCAGTTTCCTTACTAACATCTGACCAGACGAAGACGGTCGTTCAAGTGCTTGCGCACTATGTTCACAGCCCCACCCAATTTCCAGTTGCCAGCGCTTTTTTCCACCAAAGTTCCTGACAGATGGAATTCCATACGGGAGCATAATGCACGCTTTGCCTGTTTAGGAGACTCCTACATGGCCAAGGATTGCAAGCCAGTAGTTCGATGCGGCCAGCCGGGTCGTAGGGACGACATCATAATTTGTTACATACATCACAACCCGGAAACAGAGCATCTACATCCTCAGAGGCGGAGGGTATGTGTGCCTTAACTCGAGGTAGTCGGCTTCCGGCATGCCTAGGAGTTATTCCTGCCAAGCTTGACAGTCCTGCAGGAAAGGTGACAACCTATGAATTTTTAGATGCTGAGTCCGACACAACGATAGCAAAGCGGGACCTTTTGGTGAAAAATGGGGTCAGGCTGCTACCCACGTCTATGACCATTGATACACTGGGTGGTTCCATGGGATGCACATCGGAAGCTAATGACATCAGGCTTTTATCAATGGATGAAAGGCAGTCGATAGATATTGACAAGGCATTCGTCGTTGACAGCTTACCTATGCAAGCTTTCCCATCTATCAAAGAAGCGGCTCACAAGTGGCCTCACCTTAAGGAATTTGCCTTCGTCGAAATGACTGAAGACGATGTAGGAATTATTATTGGTTGTGACGTATCTGAAGCGCACTGGGTCTTCGACCAGCGCCTGGGGGGTAAAAAACAGCCGTTTGCTGTGAAAACCTTACTCGGTTGGATAATTCGTGGTCCGATGAAAAACGGGATGAAGCAGAAGGTCGTCAGTCATTGTATAAGCGGGTGCAGTCAGGGCATCCAGAAGCATTTGCAGCGACTGGACAACTCGGAATTCGCAGACACTTCAGCATCAAACGCTAGTGTCTCTTTAGAGGATCAAAGAGCACTGTTGATAGCAGAGACTGGTGCGGTGCGAGTAAGTGGGCACTACCAGCTGCCGCTTCCATGGAAGGATAACGCACTTGCTCTATCCGATAACTTCCAGTTGGCTAGGAAACGTCTAGATAATCTGAAAACTAAACTGTGCAAGGATCGCGTTTTACACGGAAAGTACAATAAGGTGCTTCGCGCATACCTTGAGAAGGGATACATTGAACGGTTGGCGGATGCCCCCACACTGTCA